AACTCCAATTCAATTATTCTTTGCTTGTTTTCAATAATAATTTCAGAATATTGAACTTTTTGGTATTCAAAATCAATTAAATTTTTTTTTCCTTCTTCTAATTCTAAGAAAAGATTTGTGTAATCTTTGGCTTGTCCTTGAGCATCATTATCAATAGTCAAGTTTTTTTTGCTGATTTTCTTCTGAAGAGCTGGGAGTAGAAGTATATTCTGCTTTTAATTTCTCAAGAATATTGTTAGTCATAATAATTTGGTTGTAATGTTTTTCACAAACAGAGTACTCATTTAAAGAATTAATTAATAAAGATAAATCAGTAATATACTTAGAAAATATATTTACACACCCAACTACTTTGCTTCCTGGGCTCACCTCCAAGTTTGATCACTTTTAGTTTCACATGGGCTCAACTTGTATTCTTGAATAAACATAGAAAATAGGCAAGGTAAAGTGTTAACAGGCGGTATTGGTGTTTTATTCACTAAAGATTAGAAAAAAAAATTTTCTTTTTAAAAAAACCCTCTTCTGACATGTAAAATTCCTTGATTTTTAGTAAAAACATACTTTGAACAGCTTAACAGATTATAACAGATTATTAACAGATTATGAAAGAGAAAGTTGAATAATATATATTTCGATTATTATTAATAGGGGTTTTTTAATAATTTTTTTTTATCAATATGTAGTGGAAGTATCATGTTAATTCGTTTGCTACATATATGAATTGATTGATGAATGAGGCTGAAATCGATTTCCAAATTTGGTAAAATCCCTGACTGTAGTATTACAGAAAATAGGATTAATAAGCATACTTTCTAGGGGTATGGGGGTCCAACAAGAATGTTACACATTATGATTTCGTTTTCCATTATATCAATTTCAAGCATGGTGGAATTTTGTTTTATCACATTTGTCACTTTGTGACGATCTCAAAATTATACTGTGCAATGAAATAATTTTAAAATAAAATTCATATGCAAAGTCACGTTCTCAATAAACAAATTTTTTTTTCGTGATATAATTTTTAAATAAACTTTGCAACTAGTTATTAAATCAAGAGAGGAGCATGGTTAATTACGATCTAATCAAGATAACGTCAATATCCAAAAAGATTTACTAGAAGCGACTTAACTCACATAGTAGTTTTTACCTTTTCAAGAGATATCTTTTTATTTATTTTTTATTATTGCTTCTTTAAAAAACACTGTATAATTAGATACGTTATTAAGAGAGTAGGAAGGTTAATTACGATCTCATCAAGATAACTTCAATACTCATGAAGCTTTATTAGTAATGTAGTTTCCTCTAAATATGTACTACTTCAATAATTATTTTCTCTATTTATTAATTAAATATTTATTACAGATAAACTCTACCAATTTTTTATTTCATTTTTTAAATTTAAAAACAAGTTATATATATGTTCTTCGTTTATATTAATTGAATTATCATCTTCACCATCACCATCCCCATCAGCTTCGTTAGTTTCATTATCTTCTGGTTCAACTACATTGTCAGATAATTTTTCTAATCGGGATACAAATGATGTAACGTTTTCAAAAACACCTCTTTTGTAAAATTCCATACAATGTTCACAACTTTTTTCTAAATCTTCATAGCATCCATAATGATAACTATGACCACAAATCAACACACACCCATCGGTATCTGGAAAATTTGGACCAAATGCTTTTTCACAATGATCGCACAGATCTTTTTTTGGTGGATGTGTTGTATGAAATCCAGTAGGTAATAATTTTAAATCAACCTCTTCACCTAGAGTGCTTAATTTATAACTAATTAATTTTTTCCCTCTATAATGTGGCTTACTTGTATCCAAATTTTTATAAATGCCAAAAAAATATTCTATTAGAAAACAACTTGTCTTTTTAGTCAGATAATCTAATTGTGCTGGTGAATATGGATATTTTTTATTTTTGGAAAAAGCGTCAACAAATGGTGATTTTTTATAAGAATCAATAAGAAAAGCTTCTTGTATTATTGACTCAGGTGATGAAAACTTATTGGTTTGTGCTCTTATTTTGCTATGTATATTCTCAACAAAATAATCATTAAAATTTACTAATGATTTCTCCAATAACTTTGCAAATGGGTGATTATTTTTTTTCCAATAAAAGTAGTCGGATAAAAATGCAAGAGGAATCTTATTATAATTTTTTCTTCTCCATCTCAAAAAAAACATCCAGATATGGAAAATTGTCTCAAGATATTGCTCAAAAGCCCCAGATCGAAAAAGAATAGTGTATATATCTAAGGTTGCTGGTATAATATTATCTAGTAGATCAATCATCATCCTATATTCAACATCTTTAATTTTTTGAAATTTTTTTAATATATCCTCAGAAATTCCTAACCATGCATCATGAACTAATTGGAGAAGAAGATTAATTCGCCATGGTTTGGGCTTTTTTGCAAATTTTTTCTTTTCAAATACATCACAAAATAATTTCTTGAAGAAATCATAATATATAAGAACAACACATTCTCTCGAGTTCAAGGAAACATGTAATGGACCTAACATTGGAACAAAATTTTGTATCCAATCAATATCATTTATATTTAATTGATTATTTAAATATAATGTAATAGCCTTTCTAATAAAAAGCTGTCCTGGATAGTCTGCTATTACAGGTATTACATTTTTTTTTATATATTCTGATAAACTTTTTATGCTAGCTATCATTTTTATTGCTGACAAATAATCTTCCAAGGAACGAAGGCTTTGCTGCTTCACATTAATTATTTTCACTGATTCCATAGATCTTTCTTCTTTCTTTTCTTCAATATCTTCATTATACATATGGACTAATAAAAGCCCAATGCGATCAAATTTTTTATCATCAATCATTTTATCTTTAACCCATTGTATCTTCACAACATTATAACTTTTATCAAAAATTCCTCTATAATCATTAATAAGTTTTGAATTAATTAATGAATATTCAATATTATCTGGATTAAAAATAGGTACATTTTCAAAATTTGCAGGAACCACAGGAATATTTTCAATTTTTTTGACAACACATGTTGCCATATGTATTGCTGAAGATAACGATGTGGAATCAGGT